AAAAGTAGATTTTTATACGTATTAAGTTAATAGCTGTTGTATTTGTTGGGTGATATTGATGCATTGCAATTCCTTTACTATGAAAGTCTTAATTGTCTTTAAAGTACATTTTTCAAGTTGAATAGTAGCCATATGGTTAGAGATGTTGCAAGTTGGCTGGTCTTGCATGAGCCAGAGCAAGAAGGAATAGGTTAATGATAGGGTGGTGCTTCACTAACACTTATAAAAGTAACACTTATTACTCCTGATGCTAACAACTAGATTACTACCAATAGAATCAGGTTCCCATCAGGAATAACAGTCAAGGTATTATATGTTTGCCCACAGAGGGGTAGAAAAGGGAAGGATAGGGTACAGAGCAAGGGAAGGAGTTTTTTGGTTTTGGCTTTTCTAGTGGAAGGGCCAATAAACACTTCCATTAAGATGACATAAAAAGGAAATGTACTCATTACTTTGCTCATGTAACTGTAACCCTTCGGGATAGTATTTTAACAATAAAAAAATGTACCAAAAAAAAGATGTCAAAAAGAAGTGATGGGGTGCAGAGTGTTTCTGGAGTTTCCTATTCAGAGGGTTTACCAAGGCTCTGTTCACACTTTCTTCTTCCCTCTGTCAAACTTCAGTCATTTGAACGTTCCTTCTCATCCGTCCTATGTCCTTGCTCCTTCACCCTGTTGGGTCTGACTTGTGCCCACAGCTAGTTATTTCTATAAATCTACCCTCCTCTTGCACACCAAGGAGAACCGAAAGCCTTTTTTTAGTATCTTCCCACTTGACTCTCTTCTGCCATCTTCCGTGCTCAAGACTCATCCTCCATTTTGGAAAGGGAGTTCTCTTTTGGCTTTCCAAACACAATAAGCTTCTGATTCTCTCTTCCTAGCTTAAGAGCCTATCTATATTTGGATTATTTTATTTTATTTTTTTAATTTTATTTTATTTGGATTATTTTAAAGTTATCTCCTTAAGTGACCACTATTCCTACACTCATGGATTTAATTTTTACCCTTATAGATTGCGGGTCACTACAAGGGACTCAAACAATACACTTAAAATCCTGCTGAAGTTTGGAGCTGGTGGCCCACGCCTGTAATTCTAGCTACTCAGGAGGCTGAGATCTGAGGATGGTATTTCAAAGCCAGCCCGTGCAGGAAAGTCCATGAGACTCTTAATCTCCAATAAGCCACCAGAAAACCGGGAGTGGAGCTGTGGCTCAAGTGGTAGAGCACTCACCTTGAGCTGAAGAGCTGAGGGACAGTGCCCAAGCCAAGAGTTCAAGCCCCACCACCAGAAAAAAGAATCCTGTTGAAGATGTTCTTTATGGAAAAACCCCTCAGTAGAACATGCCCTGGTTAATGCTATCAAATTCTCAAGCAAATCTGCTTTTGCCATGTCTTCTTCAGAAGATATAGCACAATTGTCTTACCAGATACATGCACAAACATCCCCAGAGTTGCCCTAACCAGTCCTTATCCTAGGACTCTTACTTAATTACTTAATGACCTTTTTGTTCTGCAGTGTCTGTGGTCTAAATTCTCCCTTCACTTCACAATAGCCTTTCATCATTTGTCTGCACTTTGTAATAGACTTCTAATTGCTTTCCTCTATCCAGACCCTGAATGTCAATCAATGTGCTTGCACAATGCTATTCTAAACAGTGTAAAACAGGCCGACTGTTCCAGAAAATTGTTACTGACTTTCCATACATTGATTTTATGAATTATTTGCACTCATTTTTTTCCAGGAACATGATGTTTGCTTCTTTTATGATCACTGTAGATCATGCAGACAAATTTTTCTAACAATCAAGCATACTGCATTTAGCTACAGTTCTCTTAGGATATTGCTGCAGTTATATTTCCAGGAAGGGACATTTTTTTCATGGAGGTAGTTATGGGGTCTGGTGGACCTTGTTTTGGTCCTCACAAGAAGTAGATGTCAGCTCTTTCAACTCTGGTAGTGATAACAGCTAGCATTGATTGAGTCCAGGCATGGGTTCTGTGTCAGTGCTGTTCTCAGTGCTGCTTATTTTAGGTGAACCTCACAGCCTTCTAAGAGAGACACCATAGATTATCTCTCTCCTATTTTTGGAAAGGTATCAGGTTTAGAGAGCTTAAGCAATTTGTACCGTTACCTAGCTGGTGGATAGAGGAGCTGGGATTTTAACTGAAATGTTCTAACCCCAGAGCACAGGGCTTTAGTCACCATCTTCTCTTTTCTACAGCAAGGATATTTTGATAATATGTATTTATCAAAATTTATATAAGGAACTTGGCTAGGGCATGCCATATGTAAAGAAAAAGTGTTATATTTTACATGTTTAATGTTTTTCACAGGTATATATTTTTTTTCTAAACCATCTTTTGGAATCTTTTTCCTCGAAGATTTTATGCATTGTCATGCACATTTAAAGTGGTACATTGCATACTTGCATTCCTCAAAGAATGTGGATTGATCCAACAAATCATTGGAAGTCTGTTTATTGCCCCTGAAATAATTTTAGCTTTTTCAAGGTTTGTTTTTTCTCATTTTCTTTGTATAAGAAAGAAAACAAAACATGCATTTAGTGTGATATAGAGATATTACACATAAGGCATATTTGTCTGTTTTTATCTATCTATTAACCAACAAAAGGACAGGGATGAAAAGATAGATGGTAGATGGATAAAGAGATAAACAGGTAGATGATGTACAGCTAGAAAAATGTTGTGTAACCCAGTCTCTTCCTCCATGGGTAGATTTATAAGATGGTACTGTACTTTAACTATCAATATGAAGTTATTCATGCTCAGATTTCATAAAGCCTCTTTTAATTGGGAGTAATCCAATATGAAATTATAAACATAAAATCATTGGTATTGCTCAAAGAGATGTCAAGTGATGTTTATTTTTAAAAAAAAGATGAGGATATCTTAGTAAATTTTAAAGTAAAGGGAAATTTCTCTCCAGATCCAAACATCTGAAAATAGGATATGACTTTTTGGACAGTTCTAAACCTCTGTAACATTTTTGGTTAAATTGAGTGCTGAGTGTCTGCCTGCTGCCTTGATATATTGCATTTTGTAAGGTCATCATTTAAGAAAAAGTTTTAATATATCACTTATTTAATAATATCAATGTTTTTGAAATCGATTTTCCCATGTCTATATCAATATTTTCAATTAAAAGATCCTTTTGAGTTTCTTCCTAAATCATTATTTCTATGTAATTCATAGATGTAAGAGCAATACATTTATTAAGAATAAAAACTGTATATTTCAAAGTAAATTTTAAGTGTTTTCTAATTTAAAGGAAATTTTGGCTAAATTTCCATGACTAGGGGAGTTGGACAGAAATTAATTATTGTAACATTTTTTAATGCTCAAATGCTTTCTATCTGCAATTAGTATACAAATGCATCAAATAGTCAAGAGAATAATTAAATAAAAGAATTTTGTTAGGCCAGGAGCTGGAGGCTCATACCTGTAATCTCAGCTACTTAGGAGGCTGAAATCTGAGGATCGCAGTTTGGTTTGAATCCAGTTGGGGCAGGAAAGTCCTGAGACAATAATCTCTTATTAACCAGAAGTGGAGCTGAGATATAAGATGGTGATGTACTAGCCTTGAGCAAAAAAAAACCTCAGGGACAGTGCTTAGGCCCTGAGTTCAATCCCAGGGGGCACACACACACACACACACACACACACACACACACTTGATCATGTACTGTGCAGAAACAGTATGGATTCAAGTGTATGAAGTCATTCAGTTGAAGCAGTATAGTCAGCATTTCTCTAACACTGACAAGGATAGAACAAGAACTTGGTGTAGATGTTAGGAAATGACCTCAGAGAGGCTCAGGATGTGGAATCCCAATCAAGGATACCAGTCTAGTTTTCAGAAAAGGGTTTATTTCTTGTCTCTAATTAGAGTATATGTTGAACATGTCATTTCTGGCACTGAATTTCAGAGGTCTTCCAATTACATGTCAAATGTCTTTCTAAAGTTCCTTTCTAAGGTGGTTGCTGCAGTCAGTAGTCATTGAAAGAAATAGTACATTCAAGTAGAGATCTGTGCAATCACAAATCTAACGTATTTAGAGAATAGGGATTTACATACATTGAATCTTTGGATTTGGGGGAAGTTAGTGTGCATGCATACCATTTTGCAAATAATTCTAGAAGGTTCTTGATCTGGGGATCTGCTTCATGGAGTGTGGCATCTGTTTCTGAGCCTGAATTCTTGTGTCTAAAATGCTACTTCCTGTTCCTCATCTTCCCCCTGTGCTAATCACCATGTGAGCACCCTGACAAGTAGATGCCTCCGTATGGCTTGAAACAGACCCGACCTATAGCATCCGCCTGAGCTCCCACAATTGGAAAAGTGAAGTCCTGGGCAAGTTATGTGCCTTTTCCTGGAGGATGTTCAAACTTACAACACAAGCAACTAAAACTCAACTAAGCTAAAACTTTTCCAATGGCTGAGTGCACAGATTCCTCACTTTCTGTAATAGGCTGGAATCACAGTTCTAAGTTTATACTTAGTGTCAAACATATGTCTGTAGAAGACTCTATTGCTACTATTCTTGCAAGGGCCTAATCCTTCAACTTTTTTTTAAGACTCCAAAACTAAGCTTTTCATAATTAGTACCTCTTTTTATCATTCAAAGTCAAATGTTAGTCTCCAAATGTAACATAAATTGTTTCATGCAAAGAATATAGTTTCACTTCAGCTAACTACCATAATAGTATTTTTCTGTCTTATTAAAATGGTTAGTGAAGAATCATTTCTTCTTATCTGACTAGGGATGTCTACAGACTTGTGTTAATTCCCTAGGTAGATGCAGCACATTTTAGTCTCATTACAAAAGAAGATTTCTATAGAAACCTTACAGATGTCTTGATAGAAAACAATAGCAAGTGAATCTTGTATAACATTTCTGTTTTGGGATTCTCTAAATCAGGAACAAATCATCTATGTAACTTGTGTTTGTAATGTCACCAACCCAGCGATTCTTTACTTACGTGTTGAAATGCTCAGTGAAGATCAAGTTGGTAGAGGTCCCAGTGATTGTTGTCAGTCCACCAATAGTAGAAGAATAGGCAATAGACAAACACATCAGTTTGCACATCATGTGGTCCTTCTTCGACCGATATTTTGTTCCTGTGACTGCATTCTGTTCAACAAGAATATAAACTCTGAGGCAGCACCACATATGGTCATAATAAGCAGTAGTCATATTTCTCATGAAATGAATGTGTTCTGCCTCTGCTCTATCTATCTGATAATGTTTTGGCAATAAATACTGTTTTGGTATGATAACACAGGCAAACTAATAACATTTATCTTACATTTCATAAAAAGATAATAATAAAAATATTCAAAATGAAATCATTGAAATAGTTCTCAAACATAATTTCACTTTTTGCCTAATCTCTCTCGCCTCTGACCCAGCTCACTCTCTTCTCTTCCCTTCTCCCCATGATGTCCAACACTTTTCACTATTTTCCTGCTGATGGTGGTGGTACATGGTCAGTAAATTCCTTGGCATCTTTTGAGGAGTTGTTCTGTCTTCATCCTTTAATGACTGCTCCTCAGAGAATACGTCTCTAGAGATTGAATGCTTCCAACTCCATTTTGTAAACACTAAGACATCAACACTACACTTAGTCTTTGGAAGCATTTGTCCTCTATTCACACCAAAAGAAATTTCCAGATAATAACATGAAATAGGGAGACTCCTTAAACCATTCTCTTCCAGACCTCACTACATTTATCTACATGCACATGTGCTTTTACATGCCCAGGCTCTGTTCAGTTTTCTCCATCTCCACTGCTGTAACTTAGTTCAAGTCAGCATGCTAAGTGGTGTAGGCTAATCTATAAATTATTTTGAGATTGCTTATATCAATTTCTTGGGATTAGAAGTACCCAAAGACTGGTGGCTCACGCCTGTAATCCTAGCTACTCAGGAGGCTGAGATCTGAAGATCGCGGTTCAAAGCCAGCCCGGGCAGGAGAGACCGTGAGACTCCCAATAAACCACCAGAAAACCGGAAGTGGCGCTGTAGCTCAAGTGGTAGAGCGCTCGCCTTGAGCTGAAGAGCTGAGGGACAGCGCTCAGGCCCAGAGTTCAAGCCCCACGACCGACCCCCCCCCAAAAAGAAGTACCCAAAGAAGCCTGGAGCTGGTGGCTCATTCCTTGGAGATTCTTATCTCCCATTAGCCACTCAAAAGCTGTGCATGGCGCTGTGGCTCCAGGCTAGAGTGATATAGCTTAAGCAGAAAAGCTCAAGGACAGCACTCAGGACCAACACACACACACACACACACACGAATCCAAATGTGTTTAAGAAAGAGAACTTGTTATTACTTGTCCTTTGGTGTTCCTAGGCATTTGAATATGTTTGGATTTGTTAAAGAGACTGCAGCACAAAAGAGAGGTTTGAAATAGTCAAAATTAGAATGGGATGATCCATCAGCAGTAACCACAGTAATCTAAATTATATTTTCTTTATCCACTCATACATCAATAAAAGGATTTTCAGTATCTTGGGTAGTGTGTCTAGCGCTGTAATGCACATGGAGACACAGATATTCCTTTGCAATACTGACTTGACTTCTTTTGGATATATACATGAAAGTGGTGTTACTCAATTGTAGATATATGTATATGTATATGTAGTGTGTATAGATATACACACTCTGACATATATATTGCATACTGTGGTATATAATTTATGTATTTATGTAATTATATATACTCTATGTAAAATGTTATATATAACAATGTATTATAGAATATACATTTTCTGTATAAATTTATATATGCATATATAAATTACTTGATACTGGGGTTTGAACTTGAGGACTCATCTTTGCTAGGCTACCACTGCACCACGTGAGCCAAGCCTCCAACCCTAATTTTTGCTAGTAATTTTGGAGAGGGAATGTCTTAGACTTTTTTGTTCTGAGCCAGAAGATTCTCCAAATCTTATCTTCCTAAACAGCTAGTTAGCCGCCACACTGGATTTTTAATGTTATGAAGAAACTTTTACTGTTTTATATAATTGTTATACCATTTTACATTCCTACCAACAGTATGCAAGGGTCTTGTTCTGATCAGATAGATGTGCTGTGTGTGATACTGGCTTAATAAGATGTCTGTGTGTGTGTGTGTGTGTATGTGTGTGTGTGTGTGAAATCCTGACAAGGAAAACATTATCATACTCCCTAAAAGTCCGGATGGATGTGGAAATGGCATTTAGCATGACCAGGTCAGCTGCTCTGGGATAGTAATTTACCTTTCACTTGTTAATTCACTTAAAGGTCAGTCCCCAGAGATATCAACTCTTCACTCAGAAGAAGTAAATTCACAAGTGTCTTCATTTATTTTTATATTATTTTCTATGTGGAAATGATTTACATTTTCAGTATGATACAAATTTCCACTGAGAACTTGCAAAAATTATATGTAAATAAGGTAGAAAAATACACTTAAAAATTCTTATGAACAACACTAAGTGACAACTAAAACTTAGGGCTTACGTATGATTGAATTGATAAGAATGGGTATTTTGAAATACAATGTGCATATAATCTCTCACTGACATTAAAACTTTCAGAAATTCAAAGAAAAAAATGGATTTAATATAAAACCTTAGCTGCCAACACTTGCTTATACATAAAAACAATGCTTAAATTGTAGTGGCAGATTTAAAATAAAATATTCAGAACAGAAAATAATTAATTCCTTATGGACTTTTTACCACACATTTTTTTCTGTACAAAGACCTTTAAAACAAACATTAATAATACTGCCTAAAAATAGATGTTTATGCAAATATAGATCATTTAGACAGGCATTGCAATTTAGGATACATTTTAATTCCACATAAAATTGTAATACCTCTTAAAGGTGAAGAGGGTGGATGTTTTTCAGGTGGAATAGGAGATGCACAGTTTTTATCTAGCAGCAAACACTAGCTCCCTACAACTAGATTTATTGTAATTCTTGTTCAAACCCTGTAACTGCTGGGCTGATTCAAGCAAGGAGTGAAAACCATGATCAGCAGTAGAAAACAGTGAGAGTGAAAAAAAAATGTAGCTTTTTAGAAAAGCTGAGATGAGCCACTAATTGAGCCAAATAAATGAGGAAAAAAAGATGACATTTTATAGAACGTAATCTTTAGTATTTTGTTCAGACAATAGTTCAACCTAGGACCAATAGTCTAACTCTAGCTAGAATAAATCACTTAAAAGTCGACACTAAGACACACTGCCCTTAGGATTCACATGTTTGCAGACACCAAGAAAACAATCACTCTCTCCAGAAGTGGGAGGATGTGTGTGTGTGTGTGTGTGTGTGTGTGTGTGTGTGTGTGTGTGCACGCAAATGTTGTATTTTATCCTAAGAGTATTGAAGAGAAAAACGTAATTCCAAATCAAGGGAAGAAGGAGAAGTAGATCATCTGGAAACAAGCATGAAGCTGGGGATGGCCGGAGCAGAAGTGGTCAAGTAGCTGCTGTACTAGGTGATCAAATGTCATTTTCATGGCTGCAGTGGGAACAGGAAAATGCCTGTGTCACAATGTGTAAGGAGAAATTTGGGGAATTACAGAATGATGATTACTTTAAAACAAAAGAAAACCATATCCCTGTCCTTGTATAGGTCTAGAAATTAGGCTAACATGAATTACGTACATCCAAGTATTAAAATTGTTATTTGTTGATCACGGAATTAGTGTTATCTGTTACTTAATTGATACAGGTTGCATCTTTTACAATCAGAAAAAATATGTATTTGGATATTAAAATGCTTAAAACATTTATTTGTATAAAAATCAGAGATTTTTTCAGCAGGCAGATATTTAAAGAAGATCTGGTTTAAAGATGTAATTTTTCAAAGGATAAAATGAGTCTTAAATGGAACGTGAGTGTCCATGAGTCTTACATAAGTCTCCTTGTATCTTTATTCCTACTCAGTGATTTCCTGTCCCCCTACTTCCGCAGAATGTTTTTTATTTACTTAAGATTTCATACTACTTGTTACCATAATTACACTTTTATATTCAGTATTGATTCTGTCTGTGATTCATTAAGTATTAGACATACATGACATCCTTCCACACGCTCTTCCAAGTAATTGAAAACATTTTGACCTAGGGCATGACCAAATGAAGCAGCCTATGACATCATCACACAGATACATCCCCCAAGGACATTGCTGCCCCAGATGTAACTCATTACCTCCACCTAGTGGTAGTGGTTGTAGACTTCAAGAGCAAGTTACTCCTTTGTAGACTTGGGTGCTAAAAATAACATACATGAGCAAAACCAATGGTTTCCACACAGCCACAGAAATAGTTCCTTACACTACATAAGGCATGAAAACATTAAGCTTTCTATTTATGATGAAAACTTATTTAAGGATAATTGCAAAAGGCATTAGTTCCTGCTAAACATTTTCTGCTTATCACAGCCATTTTACAATCTTGTAGGTATTTTGGGACATATCTTTGCACTCATTTTAATAATACATCATTTCATATGCTAATTTCTTAAACGTAAGAAGTTGCAGTGAAATTTTCACCATACTCTATGCTCATCTTCCACAACTTTCTTCACTCAAGCTCTGAGGGTACCCTCATTCTAACATCGTGCATTGAAATATCTTTGCTTATCATAGTTCAATTGTTTTAGAGTTGTACAAAGATCTCTGAAAAGAGCAGAGTCATATGATGTATATGTATATGCATATATTTTTTCTTATCCCTGTCAATTTGCCTATTTTTTAAAGGATATGCCACTAAATCAGTTCCAAGAATTCCCTAATTGTTTAAGTCTTCTTTCAGAACAATCAAGTGAAAGAACAACATAACCACATCAATAATCCTCTATTCCTATTATCTGGGTGATATTTCTTTCTTCCTGTCATAAAACTGATTATTTTTCGTTTTTCCTCCTGGCTCTACAAAATTCTAAGAATTTGGAAGACATTTTTTTTCTCTTGTTCTCAAATTCTACCACTGCTGTAAAACATTTTTATTTTTTGTCATTTTTAAATAAATCACATTTCTTGTCTTTCCAAAGGATTTTATGCTATGCTCTGTTATTCTGGAATCTCAGTGATTTAGAGACAGACCAACCCTGTGTGTCAAGTTCGTTCACTATGCTG